TGTTACCAGCAACGCTACCCCAACGGAGATCCGGCAGGCCTACCTTCATCTGGCACGGCGATGCCATCCAGACAAGAACCCTGACGACCGTGAAGCCACCAAGACATTCCAAAGGATACAGGCTGCGTATGTCGCTCTGAACGAAGTTCAGTGTGGCCAAAATAGTTCTCAGACGTGCGAGGAGAAGTACTACTCTCAGAAGAGCTAGGAGAAGTACTCTCAGAAGAACGAGGAGAAGTACTCTCAGAAGAACGAGGAGAAGAAATCCCAGAACTGGGAGGAGAAGAAATCCCAGAACTGGGAAAAGAAGAAATCCCAGAACAGGGAGAAGAAGAAACCCCAGAACTGGGAGACGAAGAAACCCCAGAACTGGGAGACGAAGAAACCCCAGAACTGGGAGACGAAGAAACCCCAGAACTGGGGGAAGAAGAAATCCCACAACTGGGGGAAGAAGAAATCCCAGAAACAGGAGAAGAAGAAATCCCAGAAATTGGAGAAGATATAAAAAGAAACGCCCACTTCCCAATGCGAATCCCAGGGAACTGTGAACTTATGGGTTCACTGTTCAAGTAAGTCTTACTCCGGCCCCCCAGACTCCGACACCGGGTTTCATACAGTTTTCCGAAAACTCTTCCAAGAGATTTCTAAGTGGGAGATGAAAAGCAAAGAAAACACCGATAACCTGCCACCACCAAGCTTCGGAGGAAGCAGCACCACATTAAAAAATGTCAATAAGTTTTATGAGTATTGGACAAAATTCTCCACTAAAATGTATGTGGAAACAAAAGACAACCAAGATTGGCTTCTCATCCCCGATAAAACTCCATCAAAACACTGCTTGAAATCTCTTCAACGAGATCGAAAAAAATTTAATATGGATATTCAATATTTAGTAAAGCTCATTAAAAAGCAAGATCAACGCTTGGTATGAGTGAATACAATAACCCAGAAATCACCCTACAAGAAAGGAACCCCCCCCCCCCCCCCACAGTCTTATAACATCAACAACTTTCAGCGGGTCTTGTACAAACTGTCAGGTTTTATTTTCACATATTTATAACAACACAACACAACATAACACACACTCATTTTATTTTATTAAGGATAATTTTTACTTAACGGCTATCGATACAGCACTTTATCCATCACGAGGAACAGACAGTGAGGGGTAGATAAAAAAAAAAAAAAAAACACACACACACACACACACACACACACACACACACACACACACACACATTTTATCTCCTCCTCTGGTAATGTTGAAAGTGTTTAGGAAGAAAATTTGAATATAAAGATTACAACAACCAAAACAAAGAATAAAATTTGAGAGAAAAAGTGAGTAAGTTACAGTATAGTCTGCATTTACGCTGTCAATTGAACCTGCGGAGGCCCGCGTAAAACGAGAAACGCATAAACGAAATAACAGAACATGTGGGATTAATTGAAATAGAGACTGGGCCGACCCCCAATACCTACCTTGTAGTAAAAAATAACATCTAAATTTTACGATGGTATGCACACACAATTTATATTTAAGAGAAATATCAATAATATTAGGTTTTGTAACACTTATGTTAGTAGAAAAGATGGGTCGGCACACGTGGATGGCGGCTGGTTCCGAGGCAGAGGGCAGATTAGTTCCCGTCCGGTGAATCACTTTCACTACTCGCAGAGGTTTGCAGGGCCTCCCAGACAAACCCCTCAAAGTCCATATCCTCACTGTCACTATCACTACTGTATTACAGGTTGACAACCCTTTATCCGAAATTCTGCCCAGGACACATGGACCAAGATAGTCAGCAGCCATTATAACATCAAAGTTGCAAGACGGTTTATTCAGAAGAAACTAAGAGATACGTTCTGTGTGTCAATAATGTTTTACCAGTATTTCTTAGCCATCATTCTAACCAGAAATAGTCTCACATATGGTATAAAGGGGAGTTAACATTAATTGTAAACATGTAAATATACTGTACTGTACAACACAGGGTTTAAACTGAATTACAAGTACGATTGTAAGAAATAAACCTTGCTTTACTTCTGCTGTCATGGCATTCCTGTAGTACATGCGATTTTTCTCACAATCTAATATAGTTTTTTATTAATAAAATAATAACGATTGTATGCAAATATTACTTTAATATATTTTAAAGAATTTTTTTTTTAAGAGTTTCCCAAACTTCTCTACATTAAGCCATGTTACCTTAACCACCTGGACAATCGACCCGGGACACACCCCCCCCCCCCCAAGAATCCTGGATCCGTCCCCGAGAAGACAAACAAGATCATGAAGATACTACATAGACACATGTGTAGCTGACCTTCAAATTCCATTATAACACAGTACACCAACTCTCCCTCCCTGACCCATCTAATTTGCTACTTGTTCTCCACTGCATCTATGGTCCCTTTGTCCACTCAGAAATCTTCCTCTATTATAATATCTGGTATTTGTTGTTGTTTTACCATCCCTGCTTTCCTGTTAATACTGTTTGCTTACAGCAACAACAAAGTTACCTTAATTGCTTCATTTCACCAATTGTCACCCTTATATATAAAATACCCTTATGAATCTTTCCATTGCTTAGTTCATCAACATAACTAATGATTCCTCTTGGGAAAAAAATTCAATTTTCACTTAATAAAATAATAAGCCAGCAACTCTCTAAGTCAGCAAGAAACACCCAAATAATGTATAAAAGTAAATAAAAAAATTAAAACTTCAGTTCAGTATTTCCATGCTTCACACTTAGCTATCAATGGCATTCATCCCAGAGACATTTCTAAGAAATTCACCTGCAAGTTTTTCAGATATGGCTGTCATGATCGTAATGACGGCTACCCTGTTAAACTAATGATCCATATTACGCTTACACGTCCACAAAACCTTCTGAGTCTCCCAGTGGAAATGTCCTCCGTTCTCTCTGTTTCTTTGATGACGTCATCAAGATGTCGTATGTTTGTTGACAGAGTTGTAAACTCTTTTGCATCTACCGAGACCTGTAAACCTTTTTTTTCACCTATGAATATCAGAGACTCTGATAATCATAGTGAAATTGTGATAGGGAGGTTAACTGAGAAATTAGTAGATATTCTGAAGGGAACCTTTTTGAATCTGCTCCTCGGGTGTTGTAGCAAGGCGTTGCGTGTTGGGACCTGTTGCCATCCAACCTTTTGTAATCAATTTAATGCTCAGTCAGAGCATTGTTTGTGAAGATAATAGTAGGGAATGAAACTGAGTTCGTAATCTCAGTTTCAAACGTCAGAGTGTTACAGTAAAATAATTCAGTGAAATGGTCGAGTAGGTGGAATCCGTGACTTTAGCGTGGGCGGCGGTTCATTTTCAAACCAGTAAGCGCCACGCTCCTCCACCCACAGGTAGGTCATTCTACCTTCTCTGTGTTGTAATTCGCCATTTTTAAGTGATTTGACCTAATTAATAGTTTGATTGTGCAAGTGTTAAAGTAACGTAGTTAATGTGCTTTGAGTGAAGTATTCTATGTCCTTAATGTATGTCCCTTTGAAACATTGAGGTTCGTTATAAACCGTCAGTGAGCCGCCATGCTTCCCTCCCACAGGTCCCTAACGCAGCCTAGGCCGTGTCTGTAGCGTGGAAGACGCATCCACTAGTCTGGGGAGATGTCTGAGGTCCAGTGGAGTCGGGTGTCCCCGTGAACCCCGACCGTCAGAAGCTCCTACCACCTATGGGCCCCATAGCGGGCCAGTATTCCCCTGACGCCATGCCCCCATGGTGAACCCGGATCGTCAAGCCCACAAACAACTGCCAGCCCCATCATTGGTGGATGAGTACAGTACATAGCTCAGTAGGGCTATTTGTGTGGTGGTGTTAGTCCACCGGAATTATCGGAGTTTGTTGGAAGGTGTCACTTGGTGATGAGACTCCCATGGCGGCGGCTGGAGTATTGCCCCTAGGGTATTGAGTGTTGTACTGGCAGGTGCCACTGGTTTTATTGGTACTAAGATGCTGTGAGAGTTTATGTGTGTTTTGGTGTGTGCACACCCAGTAGTGGTGCAAGTAAATTGAGCCTGAGGGCATGGTACCAGGAGTTCTTATTTTGGGTGCATACAACGTCTTTTCTGTAACCATTTTTGTGTTTAATAAACAGTGTATTTGTATGTGGGTCTATGATTCACCTATAGTATTCACCGTTGTTCTTTCCCTAATACTCGATACTATAATTACATGGACCCATGGGCCTTCCTCTCAGGTCACGCTACCAGGTCAGAGTATTACTTAAGTTGTTGTAAGAGTGCCAAGCCCTTACAGGGTGGCAGCTTGTGGTGCGCGCTCTAACAATTGGTGGCCTCGGTGGCTCAGCAGTAAGTAATAGCAGCCCCCGCTCTTACAAATGGTGGCAGCTAGCCCCCACATTTACATGGCTGTTTTGTTCACTATACTATTATTACCACAAGAACAGCATACAGTAATTATACATTCTGACAGTCACATTTGTAATTTTAGTTCCACATAATACTACAAAGTCCATATATTAGCCTAAGCTTTGCACAACATCATCAAACAACTACTTGATGTTTTCAGGGTAAGTTCTAATGAGTGTAATATTGGTAGGACCACGCCCCCATACCTTATGCCCTTCTGACACTCTCACATAATAGGGAAAGTCTTGTTTTGGCCAAATCCTGTTTAGATAACAATGATTCTGTTCATTGTTTGTTCCTTCTTATTTTCTTGAGTTTGCACTAAATGCTTGCTTCTTGTTGCTCTTACATCAGATGATCCATAAAATGTTATAATGAAGTATGATGTTCAAGCCATATGTGGTCTAGTGCCCTAGCGTAAGACACTGACAGTCGACCAATATGTTGTTGTATTCATGTGTTAAGAATTTACAAACTAACACATCTGGACGACTTTTCAAACAAAAAATTATATAGTTTTGGAATTCTACGATATCACATTCTAACCAACACAATTCCTGTCTTCCAACTCTACTGGAACAAGTGAGAAGTAGTACTTACCGTGGTATCCACACGGGGGCCTTGTCGTTAATTGGTGACCTGTCTTGGGGATGAGATTTAACAGGCAAATTTTTAGTTCTCCTAATTGCTTGTTTGATATCTGCTATGGCTGCTTCAACACTTTCTCGACTTTGACCAACTCCGCCACCTGAGCATTGGTGATAAAAGAAAGTTTTACATTAACCTCTGAAACAATATTTGATACAAAAAAAATCATACCTGAAATCTTATACCTTGAATATGTCTCAAAGATTATCAAAATAATAAAAGAAATGTGGAAATTATATTGAAAAAAAGTACTAGAAAATTTAACACTTTGTAGTTCCATGAACATCAAGCCACAAAAGAAGGTTTCCAGCATACAGCATAACCACACTCAGTTTAAAAACCTCTAAAACATCCCAGCTCTAATGATGTCGTCAGTCACTCCACACAACCTAACATTTGGTCGCTTTCTATGCTCATTATTTTCTTTTACTTCTTTTCATTACAGAGAAATAATCATGACCATCATCAGTGCCACCTCATCATATATCCAACAACACATTTCCTCCATCATTTTAATACAGTAGTCAATTTTTTTTCTTCATAAATATTACACCTTTTCCAATTTATTTTCTTAATAGAATTTAATTCCTACAATATCAGTATAATTCCTAAAATCACAGTATAATCCCTACAATCACAGTATAATCCATACAATCACAGTATAATCCCCACAATATCAGTATAATCCCTCCAATCACAGTATAATTCCTACAATCACAGTAAAATTCCAAAAATCACAATATAATCCCTACAATCACAGTATATAAAGGGCAAAATCACACTGACATCACACATAATACACTATCATTTTAGCAGTTTGTGAATCACCAAATATAACAGAGATACTGAGCCTGGGCCATGAACACAACAGACAGACAGACAGACACACACACACACACACACACACGTGCCTGTCTTTCCCTCATTTTCTCCCCCTTTCATCTCAAACATAAAGACATATACGTACTGTATAATTTTTTCTTCTTCTCAGCATTAATCCTTTTTCCACCTTTCCATACCATCATAGAATAAAACAATCCATTGATCTTTATCTACTCTTTTATCTATCGATTATATTGTACTTTTTTGATACCCAAATCTCACTCCGTCAAATTGCCCTTAATTCACATTCATATTATAATCAAGAAACTGGTTCTACGACATTCCGTCACCAGACAATTAGTCACCCGTTCAGTAAAGACCTAACCTAACCAAATCTAACATAACCATGGCTTCATCACCTCCAAAATAATGACAATACTACCTAAAATTTCATAAATATAACACAGACCGGTGATGAATCGTCCAGTGACAAAACTCATGCCCACCCAAGAAACTACCAGAGGTGCTTGTACTCTCCCTGCCAGAGACAGCTCACCTTCCAGCACCATAAGCCACATATCATGATTTCATAACAATCATTAGGTAGTTAGGTTAGGTTGAGAGCTGGTAACACTAATGATGTGAATGTCACCGATACATTTAATAACAGTGATTGGCGAATAAAATACCCTTAGACTTACAGCAATCACAGCAAGTACTGATAATAATTCAAGAGAACAGTAGTGGTATAAACAAAAATTAAGTGTAATTTCTTTCATTCTTGGCAACTGTAGGTTTAGCTATAGGACTGACTAATAGACTGTTGTAATAAGTACAAGAGATGTATGGCAACTAATTTCATGTGGTGCTGGTATGAATATTCTTCCAGTTTACATCATGCAATTTTTATTTAACATACTCAATTGTAATCTATGTACAGTAGTAATATTTTTTCTCACTTTTTATAAACCCTTAATGGGAGAACTGTTTCAGGTGATGGGTACTGTACTTATTTCCTAAACTGGGTGACCTGGGCTCTATTTGACCACCTCACAAACCAAAAGACAGGTATCAGTGCCTCCTGGTAACCTACTGAGGAAGTAATTGTCATGGCTGTATCCAGGTTCTTAGATCCTATATTTGCATCAGCAGACCAATTCCAATTTTTTCTTTCATACACTCCTAACAATTTTATATATCCAGAAAGGTACAGTCTTTTGGTACACTATTCTAACAAATTAACAATTACAATCACTTTATTTATCCTTACTTGTGATTTCTCTTGAATACTTTTTATACCACCCCAAGAGACTTATCCAAATTAACCTGATCTAACTTAACCCAATTACAGTTAACCCTCACTTTACGCGGTCCCACATTCCGCGTTTCCACGTTTACGCGTGCCCTGCCGGAACCCAGGATGCTCACATTCCGCGGTGCGTGTACCCCTTTACGCGGAGAGCGGCTGGCGAGCCGCGCCATTTTTGGATCCAAACCTCCCGCCATCCGCCATGTTGTGTAAGCTGCGCGAACATGGTGCGCACAAGGTCGCCCAGTCATCAAAACATTACCAGTTCTTCACCCGCCACCCACCACAGCCGGCCCAAGTCAGTGATAGTGATAATTATGGTGAGGATATGGACTTATATGGACTTTGGGGAGTTTGACAAAGAGGCCCTGCAGGCCTCTGTGGTGGATAGTGATACAATTGATACAAGTGACACAGGTGAGGGCCAATAATCTGCCCTCTGCCTCGGAACCAACCGCCCATCCCCGTGTGCCCAGCCATTTTTTCTACTAATGTAAGTGTTAAAAAACCTAATATTATTGATATTTCTCTTAATTATTAATTGTGTGTGCATACCATCATAAAGTTAAGATAATATTTTTACTACAACATAGTTGTGTGTCGTCAAAAAGTGGAGTTTGGGGATCGGCCCGGACTCCATTTCAATTAATCCCATATGTTATGTTATTCACTTTACGTGTTTCTCACTTTACGCGGGACCCTCCGGGTTACATTAACCGCGTAAAGTGAGGGTTAACTGTATATCTAACCTTACCTTACCTAAAATATCTAACCTAACCTAACCTAACCCAACCTAGCCTGATCAATCTTTATTGCATCACTATTATCAAACTTCTCTCACCAATCACTCATTTCTCTTCCTGAAGACTTAATTGAAGTCTTAGCTTTTCCTTCTACCGAGTTAAGAAATGGCTTTCACAAGTTCAAAGTTCTCCTTACTGCACCCGCTGCATGGCTCAAGATAACAGACTACAGAAATCTCCTGTACAAGTCAGGGCTATGATGCCTTGAGTCAGAAATTGCATTAAATAAAGCTAAATATAAAGAACAAGTGATCGTGGGCCCTTTGTGCCCGGTGAAAGTTTGAACGCTCGTGCTTGGCTAGCGAGCAACCGCCCTCCGGCTGACAGCGTACAGCAACAAAATGGTTCATTAATGCCTTCCTAAAGAAACCATCGACATGGGACCAGGTTTGTTCCACTCTATGAATTTTTTGCGATTTTTCCACCAAGTTTGATGAAAAACGATTGTGCCGTTTCGGCTGCCCAGAACAGACACACACACATACACGGCTATTCCTATAGTATATTAGATAATATTTTTCATACACCCCAGCTGTAACAGAGTAAGTAATACAGTAGTTGGCAACATAAAATACACCAAAAAAGTTCTTACTAAAGTGCTTGGTTATATTCAAACCTTCTTATGATAACAGGTAAATGTTCTCTCCATACCTGGGTTGTGGTGGATGTCGTGTGCAGCCGGGTGACCTGGGACCATGTGTGGTGTCACCTTGTGTTGCACAGGACTGGTGAGTGATCCCATGGCACTTAAGAGGTGAGGACCAGTACTTGGTCCTGAAACTAGAGAAGAAAAAAAATGCAGTACAGTACATGTAAATTATAACATATGTGGAATTAAAGAAAGTTCCATTACTATGCATAGTACTGTACCAACAGTGTATTATAATTCTTGTTATAATGTATATCATACCTTTGAGATGTAACCTGTACACACAACACACAAGGAGCACTTAATGTCTACAACTTTCTCACAAACAGTTACCCTCACTAAACCCTCTTTCCCAATCTTTGATCTTCATTTTCCTACAGTCTCAGCTGCCCAACAAAAAAACTTATGAATGTGGTAACATGATCAAACCACAAGACTGAAGTTAGTCGTTAAGTATTACTGTACAATATTCAGTTCTTTTACCAATATGTAGTATAATCCAGTACGGTTTATATAGGTGCCTTACAAAATATGGATCAGGGTTTTCATTTTAAGCCAATTACTAGTCAGGGTGACTCATTCACCTGAAATCTAGACTAGTTCAACACAACCTTACTTTGTCTCCAAACATACAGGCAGAAACTTCATGTACTGTACTGCAGTGTGGCCCATATGTTTTCTAATAAACATTATGAGCTACAGACCCCCTGATCCTCACTCTTCAAACCGTATTGGGCCATTCTTACTAAACATTTATGATAACCCTGAAGAATGTACAGTATTGTACTATATATTACACTGTGTAGAAAGTAGACAATGGCATGCTAACTATGGATGTGTGTCCACCTGTGATTCATTAAGATCATTCATAATTCCTTATCACTGTGTACACAATGTATGCAGGCTGGTGACCTGTATCTAATGCAGTGGTCTAACTACTCTTTTTGCCTACACAGGAGTCAAACCATTCAGTGAAATCACTGTACAGTGTACTGAACATCTGAAAGAATACTAAAAAAATACTGAACTGTTTCTATGGCATATACTGTATGTTGATTACATAAGATGCTAAAGGAAGTATAAAACTGCTCCTACAAACCTGTGCCTAAATGTGCTGTACACAAAATATATTACAGATGATAAACATATCTTTTACAGTACAGTACAGTACAGTACAGTACAGTACAGTACAGTACAGTACTGTATTGTATTGTGAAGTGTGAGAGATACATATAAAGTGTTTATAAAAAGATCAAAATAATAAATTGTGAAACTAGATAGATACTCAGAGGAAGTTTATAAGAGCATATCAAATGTTTATGGTTGGATAAGACATTGTACAGTGAATTACAATACACTTGAACTATAAGGGTTATGCTATGACATCTAGTCACATTATTTACTCACTCCTGGTGGTGGGCAGAAACCTGACAGTTGCAGATCCAAATCCTGTGACAAGGTAAAACTTCTTAAAACTGCATCAAGAATTTACAGTTTTCCCTCCACTATCATTATAAATAAATAAAAATATTACACTGGGCAACAAAACTGGAGTAAAAAAGCATAAATAAAAAAATATACCAGCACAACTTATTGGAAAAATTAAGATTTGATCATATGACCTTTTTTTCTAGCCAAACCCATAACCAGGTGGCTCATTAAAGGCTGTGCCATTGTGGGGTATAAAACAGTACAGACTGGCCCTCGGATGTCTTGGTGGGTAGTATCACTCTTCACCCCTTCACTACTGGTTGTTGCTTTCACAATTTTATTTGGCGATGACCGGCTGATTTTATTCAGCACAAAGAGACCCCTCGAACACAAGGAGTTAATAAACTACCCCCATTAATTCCTTCACTTCTAGAAACAGCTTTAACTATTTGGCTAAGGTATTTCACTCAACACAGAGAGACTCCTCATAACCAAAGGAGAAAAGAAAGACTTGCTGAAATGGTTGTCCTTCTGAGGTAAGGCTAAGAGACAGGGATGTTCTACCTAGTCAGTATACACATCACAAGTGACAGATCACTCCTACTATAATAAGACTCACTGACCAATGCAGCCTATCCAAACACCTGCTTGTAGAGCAACTGAAGAGCTTACTGTAAATTGCGGTGAATAAGTCGACATTTTAAGCTTGAAAAAATCTCTCCAAAGCCAGGGGTCGACTTATACACCGAGTATAAAATGTGAAGCTGTACCACATAGCGGTAAACAAGTGGAACAGCCTGACTAACACTGCATCACTTAGCGTAACTCCCGTGGCCTGCCGCTAATATTTCCAACAGAAATTCATGTTTGGTAAACTTATTTAACAAAGAGATTATAATAAAATAATAAATTCCAGTATAATTAAACAAACACAACACCAAATGCCATTTTTAACAGCTGATGGACAGTAAACAATCGATCAGAATGCCACTAAACACCAGGCAGCCAGCCAGACAACTACCTGGTACTACGATATGGGTGCCATCTGCGCAATTTTATAATAGCGCTATAGATTGTGAGTTCACATACACTACAGGGGTAATGACAGTTTAATGATACATAATGGCAGTTTATTGAATACACACACAATAACTCCGTAATTGAAACCTTAACTCTAAGACAAAAAGTTAAAACTTTAACTTCAAGATTAATTTTACTTCAAAGTTATATTTTATTGACAATAAAATCATGTATGATCACATTTTAAAATCCTTCAAAGTCTGCTGGCTGTTCATCGTCTAACATAAAGAGGTCTGCATATGGGTCAGAATCACTGGAACTTCCGACTTGGTCTTAATTATTTTTGCTGTCATCCTCCTCCTCGTCACTGTCTTGCCACAACAAATCATCTTCCTCCCCATCCATTGCATTTGAAATCCCACATTTTTTAACAATTTTACGACAGTTTCTACACGAACAGCTTCCCAAGACTTTATTACAAATTTGCACAACACATCCAGTGGTGGAGCACGCATATTACCCCCCTTTGTGAATGACTTTTCTCCCTCAACCATCCATTTATTCCACTCAGAATGAATATTGTCCTTAAATGGCTTATTTAAGCTTACATTAAGAGGTTGAAGCACAGATGTTAACCCCCCCATACACTGAACAAGCCTACATGGCAATTTACTAAACCATCCTGGCTTTATGCTCTTGCTGGCATCCACTCATTACCCTCACACCAACCTGACAACAGTTAAAAATATCTTATCCCCAATTGGATGAAATATGACGCAAGTTTCAAGCTGAAAGTTATTGCGTTTGCAAACTCTTCAAACAACAGTGCTGCAGCGGATGACAGTTTAAGTCTAAGCCATGCTGCCGATAGTGTAACGAACCCCATAGTTTCGCAGCTGGCTGCTTGGTGTTGGTGGCGCCACTGGCAGTTTGTTTACAACAGCTGATGCAAATGGCTGATCGTAAGCCAGGTGTACCATAATGTTCTACTATCATACCATTTATAGAGGTATTACAGTGATCCCTCGGTTAACGATTTACCTTCCATAAGATTCTTCACTTCGGTTAACGAGCAAACCCTCGGTTAACGAATTCCTTACGAATTTTTCCCCCAACATGTTTTCGCCTGCATTTGGCTGCCCACCAGCTGTAGTATTAGTCAGGCAATACAGTAATCAGTTTTAGGGCTTAAATTCCTTACCATTTTAGTAAATATCAAGAAGGCTGTACTATTCAATAATTTTAAAATTTACAGTATATATTAAATTTTTTAGTCATTTTAACAATTATTGAACATAATTGAAGTACAGGAAGCTAGTTATTTGCGCGCCAAACATCCACTCAACACACCAAGCTTGGCGTCAGTTTGTTTACAGGTTCAGAAGAAGAAACATCTTGTTTGAGACTCTTCAACATAAATGCTTTTTTTCTGTGTTTCCAGTCAAATAATTGGTCAAACTGAAATATATTTCACATATTGACAATATATAATGCAGTACAGTGTTGATTTAAAGAAAATAATCTTGAATTACACCAATTGAACTAAAATTTTATGGGTGAAATGGCGGCATGGGGCGACTTCTCTTCCACCCCAATGCATTCTCTTCTCCCTTCTCTTCCACCCCCATTCTAATTCCCATTATCATCAACCAGGAGCCTTCTACATGCACACCTCAAAATAAGTGTACTTTAATGCATTTATTTTTAGTTTGTATGTAATTTTTGGTGAGCTGGAACCAATTATCCAAAAACCCATTGAAACAATGGTTTAGGTTAACAAATTTTTCAGTGAATGAGCAACCTTCTGGAATGAATTGTGCTCGTTAACCGAGGGACCACTGCATCGAGGTGCTATACTGGTATGCTGTGTAAACAATTAATATTTTATTGGAGGTGCTGATTTTGGCTTGGTGTTTATCAGAGTTCTTACGAAGATAACTTACTGAAGATTTCTAGTGGTTGCTTGCTGTCCTACTTAAATCCTGTGGCCCACTTCCCTTTTTGTATGAACGATTTAAGATATATATCAAATATTGAAAGGTATTACAGTAAGTGTCTTAATGAAAGTGGCATGGCCTTATTACACACTTTCGCCTATGTTTGGGCCTTGGGAGGTCGACAAATACGGCGAGTATAGAACTAAAACTGAATTTTTAACTAAAAATCTTGGTCGATTTATACGTCGCAATTTACAGTAAGTATGATTTAACAATGAAAATCATAAATAAGCACATACTATCCTTTGGTTACAGTACAGCAACAGGGGATACAATATTCAGGCTCTACTTCTTCCTAATACAGTATTACCCCGCTTTACGCGGTTTCACTTTCCGCGATTTCTCATTTACGCGGTGCCTCGCCAGAACCGAACTTTCACTTTCCGCGGTGCATCTACTCATATACGCGGGAAGCGGTACGGGCAGGATGCGCACAAGGTCGCCCAGTCATCAAAACATTACCGAGTTCTTCACCCGCCACCCACCACAGCCGGCCTAAGTCAGTGATAGTGATAGTGAGGATATGGACTTATATGGACTTTGAGGGGTTTGACAAAGAGGCCCTGCAAGCCTATGTGGTGGATAGTGATACAATTGATACAAGTGATACAGGTGAGGGCCAATAATCTGCCCTCTGCCTCGGAACCAACCGCCCATCCCTGTGTGCCCAGCCATCTTTTCTACTAATATAAGTGTTAAAAAAACTAATATTATTGATATTTCTCTAAATTATTAATTGTGTGTGCATACCATCATAAAATTAAGATGTAATTTTTACTACAACGTAGGTATTGTGTCTGAAAAATTGGAGTTTGGGGGTCGGGCCAGTCTCTATTGGAATTAATCCCATATGTTCTGCTGTTCACTTTACGCGGTTTTCACTTTCCGCGGTACCCCATGGGTTCAATTGACCGCGTAAATCGGGGTACTACTGTATTTACAACTTGCCAGTGACCAACACATGACTTTCCTGATACCACAATCCAGCTACACAAACATAGCAAGTCCTAAGCCTCATATCACAAAAATACGCAAAATGTGGCCAGAAGTACTTGTCTGTGGGAGTGAGCATCACAAACTCTAGTGCAAGGTCACACCTGCTAATATACCAACTCTAAAATGCTGTAAAAGTATGTAAACAGACTTTATAAAACAGTATAAATAAAAGCTATGACTGGGTTTTAAATATCCTGCCTCTAGAAGGCAACTGTTGCCACTAATCTCAGTTTTAAGGACAATAGTTGTGATGGAGTGATGGGTGATTATATGATCAGCTCCCAACAGTCTAACTGGAGGCAGTCGTCTTTACTAAATCAATCAATCAATCAAAGTACCATCCTCATATCTGAGGATTGGTGACCACTGGCTTTTATATTTCAATATTAAATTTTTGTGTCACCATATCTGAAATAGTACTTGTTCTACCAGATAAATATATCACAACCAACACTTGGTGATGGATTATATACTGGTAACAGCTTTTTGTGTGGAATGTTTTTTCAACTTAAATTGTCCCTCATATTGAGCTTGTAAGACCATTTTCCTCTGACAGTCCATGCTTTAGAAACTCATCTTATAATTCAATTTTCAACAACAAAAATTAATGTTGTAAAGCAAATACAGAAAAGTTTTCCATGGCCTCTTAAATATCCTGCAAGAAAAACTGGTCACAAAAATGCCTACCTGGAGTATACTGAGGTGAGTGCAGGTGCCCAAGGACATGGCTTGGGGAAACAGCTGGCATTTGATTTGGAGTGGACGACGAACTTCCATTTTCTACAACAGTGGAATTTCCTGTCGACCCACCACGATGAGGGTGTGGTGCAGGAGGCGGCGGAGGCTCTGGCATTTTCTCATCTGTAACAAATTTCATAGTGATGAGTAGCCATGAGCAGTAAAAAAGATGGAATGGTGTGTGAGCCTCATACAGTACATGTAGATTATACAGGTTAGACTGCAAGATTGATCCTGAAATCCATTTTTAAGACTAAGTTTCAAGCTAAGTTTTTAGCTTGATAAATTGAGTAAAGTGCAAACCACCATCATCAGAGTTAATAAACCCAACATAAGAGTGAAGGGTACTAATGTAATGATCAATTTACCTTCCCCTCACAAGCTGGGCCTTAAAAGAGACCATGGGTGGGGGCACAATAGAGGCTGTGAAGGCTAACAAATTATGCCATCAACCTGGCATGTGACTCACCAAGACAAATTGGCCAGCTGTCTTGGATGGTTCACTCATTCACTGCCAGCTGAGAGGAGGGTGTCTGAGTCATCAACCTACTGGCTCAGTCATAAAAAGGTCTTTCAGAATCAACCCAGTATTTATATCTCAACATCTAATCAAGAACACCACCTACTCTAGAGAGAAGAAAATACAAGCTGCCTCACACTTTAACTAATTTCAAATAAAAAGACAGAAAAGATCCAGGCAAAACCCACTATCGGAAAGGAGAAGATACCATCCAGCTTACCACACTCAGAACAGTAGACCACTATCTTAAAACATCATGAATCTATTAAGACAAGGATGAAATACACACATAAAATGTCTCACTTGTCCAGGAACTATAAGCACCCCTATACTTTCATCACATAATTTAAGAGTACAACAAAAGTCAACCAGGTAACAAGATCAAAGACTATGTCGCAGAACTAACATTTGTGGAAGCCCTTGTGACAATGCAGTAGAAAGAAAATAAATATTTACTAACTAAATAATCTCTGAACATACACAGAAAATTTAAAGGGAAGGGGTCAGGTAAGACTAACAAGTAAACCTCTTCAAAATATTTCACTGTTCAATTAGTACTCCCCATCGACTTCCTTAACAGTCCATAAGAAACCGTTGTGGGGGAGTTGTGGGGGGGGAGTTTGGGGGGGTTGTGGGGGGGCTGTCAACGAGGTGTGACCGCATGTCCTCCCTCCAACCACTCGGATTTTTCCTCTTCCTATTCTCTATTTTTCCTTTTCTCTTTATTTCTCCATATTACTGTATTTTTACCTGTATATTTATTTGTCGTATCTAATAATATAAATTTTATTTTGTAAATACCAGTCGTATTTACCTTTATTCAAGTCACTGGTGTTAATAGTGTATCTGTTTTTCATTTTTTCTCTCCATTATCGCTTTGTTTACCATATTTTCTTTATCTTATCGTCATGTCTCGTAAAATTTATCCTCATCCTCCTTTTTTGTCATTCATCCTTCCTTCCTTCCTCCTACTTTTACTGCCAGCCTCCGTCCCATGTTCCTTTCACCACCTTCGTCTTTCCCTTCCGCCTTAGTTAGCATGGCCTTCCGTTGCCGCGTGCGTCTGCCCTCCCGGCGTCGGTCTGCCTTAAAGGTGAGGGCAGCAGAGTGGAGGGCCGACCCTTGCCCACGGTGCTGGCCGCCCACACTCCCTACAACACCGCCCTTTTGGTATCCTGTAGACATTTCCTCTACCACTACCACAAACCATCACGTAATTTCATCACATGTTCGGGAAAATTTTTACACATGATAGGAAATAACCTTGTGACAAAATAACGCCTCGCATACAACCTGTGTTTAAGATCCCCTGGCACCTTAGTTACATCAGGGTCAATCTTTTGATGCAAGTCGGGGATATGAGGAAGGATGTTGTGTGATGAGTGTTCCTGTGGGTTATTCTCTGTCCTCAACAACAAATACCAAGATAAACCCATACATGCCGCCACTCCTCCTCCTCCTCCCTCTACACCACACATGCACTCTTAATTTTTTTCGCCCACTTCAAGACTGAATGCCAAGAGGAAGTGAGGTAAGGTGGGAGGTGAGAGAGGAGAGTGACGTAGGGAATGTGTGCACGATGACTCAAGAGGTGACATTTTTTTTTGGCCTACAACGAACACAGCTGACAACTCGTGCCAGTTTTACATCTCTCAAAAAAAAAAGATAACATAACATTAGCTTTTCAATTACACAAAAATAAAACTAATCAAAGGTTTCTCTCTGGCATTACGTGCTAGTTAAATATATTTACTAATTTTATCTTGTTTGTATTTCAATACTGTTTGTGTTTCAATAAAGTCATGAAGCAAACACAAAGACAGAGAACAGTTATATTGCACACACCGTCACTAGTGAGTATACCAGCATGTGGGTCTGGTCCCTGGTACTTTCCCTGACACACATGACTCTAATAAAACACAGGTAATGATGCCCCAAGTGACACAAGAGGTGTATCAGGCGTCCTCCAACACACAGCTGACTTACCAATCCTGTAGGTCCAACTTATTCATTAAGCATGGGGCCCACTGGGATAGAGTTCCATTATAACTGTGCCCTATATCCACTGGTTAGGTTAGGACTTTTTATGGCTGTGGGGGGAGGGGGAGAATTTGACCAGTCACCTATTTCTTGGCCGAGGGAGATGAGGGTCGCACCTGCCAAGTAGCGACGACCCGTGCTCAGCTCACAACGACGTTTAGTAGAAAATGGGAAAAAATAATCAGGGAGTAACTTGTGGATCCTTAATGATTTATATCACATTGAGGGTCGAGAGATTATGAATATTATACTTTGGGGGGAGGGGGGGGGTTAATAATGTGAGGAAAGGAAAGACAGTGTTGTAAATATGTACATTAGTCAAGAACAGCTTACTCGCCTGTGATTAGAATATTTTTTTTGGAGCACTCAACCCTCTCATAAAACGTTCAGGTTCGTGTTTTCTTCATATTTGTCTTTAACACCACAGAAAGGTAATAATATTCATTTTGAGGGGAAGGAAGACAATGATGAGAGAAAAGAAGTGAGGAAGATTAACATAATGAATTGTTTAATATACTGTATAATGACCAAGAATTTTTTTTTCTTGTTCAATAGGAAGGATGAATACAGTGGTCATAATGGACTAGTGAATGACTACTAACCTTGTTACGCACTTAAAACCCCTAGTTGTTGAAGCGTAGTAATAACATTATAACATCAACAACTCGTGTACAGTGTGTTAAAACTGTGTGTGTGAGGGGG